TTAGAGGAAGAATGTCTATTAAATGAAGCATAACCATATGACTCACAGTCTTAGGTCACATCTGTATGCTGCATTTGTTCCATGTACCTTTCTATGTATATTAGCTACTTTGAGAACTATCACCCCTGACATACTACTGATACTACTCATACTACTGATATAGGCCTCGAAGGTATGGTATATTACACGTACATGTACTATACCTTCATATTCTCCTCTTAATCCAAATGGATCACGATAACTCTCAATGAATCCAATATACCTAGTCACACCAAATCATCATCACATCATCATGTACTTACGTTTCAACAACTGGTCCTTTATCTTTAATCCAATAACGAGATCCATCTTCATGATCAGGTACTGACCCTCTACTAAAACTAGACACATATCTATCAATCATATCCTTCTGGTTCCTGTTAGCAACGTGATGAGCAGCTGCCTCCAGTTCATCAGTCATCCTCTTCATTAGTGTATGATAGTCTCCTCTTGATATCTTAATGGAGACACTAGAGCTGGTTCTAGGGGAAGGGAACTGATGGAGTCCAAGTAATGATGATACTTTATCATTTGGACTAGGAGGAGTATCTGAGAGAATGATACATGTAAGAAAGAAGGAGAAGAGATGGAGATGAGGTGAGGGTATTGATACACTAACCATTAGTAAGAGATGATGCTAATCTTAGTTCATAGGTCCCATCTTCATTCTTGAACAATCTTGTATTGTATGGGCTCAAGTCCTATTAATAATTACAACAATGATAGCATCATGTACATGCATTGAAAAAGAGAGGAGTAGCAGGAGTATTTGGACTAATGCTCATAGCATACACTTACATGGTATGCTATCTCATCTCCCTTCATTTGTTCCCATTACACAGTTTCAGTTGAAGACACAAAAGCTTCAATGTTTGCTTAGTTTGTTGGCAATGACATTACAAATCCAATTATTATATAGGCGGTAGCCTATATGTAGGATTGAGGTTGATTTTTCAAGATGGCGGCCGTTTTTATGATTTTCAAACACTCACAACTCTTTTATCTTACGTTGTACAGCCTTATAAATGGCTTATATGAGCTCTCCTTCACTGAGCGATTCTCTTGGTACCTTTAGAGTGGACTGTAATGCAGCCGGAGCATTTCTGGAGAATAGGCCCAAATTCAAATTTCTACAAAATTCTTCAGACTTCTTCTTCTTCTTCTTCTTCTTTCATCTTTCTTCTATCAACACGGAAATCTTTTAAACCAGAGAGCCGTTCAAGTTGGCTTTTACATCATTCCTTTGAGCTTGAGTCAAGGACTGGACATGTGGCTTCAAAAGAAGCAAGGACAGAGAACAATGGAAGACAAATTCCAGCTGCAGCA